AGCAGGTGGGTGGCCTTGACAGTGATGGCCACGGGCTGTGAACAAGGAGAAAGGATCAGATCTCTGGGACCCAGTGATAACATCAGAAAGAGCTCAGAGTCATTGCCAGTGTGGAGGCCACGCATGATCTTGGCTCGGTTAGCCTGAGAGTTGCCTTTAAGATAAAGAGTGTTTCTCTTCCTCTCTCTGTGGATAGCAACATAAATAGATACATGTACACATATACTTAAGTGTAGAGGGAATTATGACTTGCTGAAAGTCATTCTACTCTTCCACGTTTCTTGCTAACTGAGCACCTCTGAGCACTCATGAAATAAAAGTTATTAATGAAAGTTTCATTAGAAGTTATTTTAGAGATAATTCAGTCTGAATCCTGCATTTTACCAACAGGCTCAAAGAGTCTTTGGCTCCAGATTACATTACAGAGCAGGCTCTGATTCTTAGAATGGTACCCATACCAAAGACTCACTACCTTCCAGGCTAGAACCCACAGGTGAAACTACATTCTTCCCATCTCTGAAGCCTGATTGGAGCTGCAGATGGCCCCCTGGGGGCATCGTGGGGAAATGGCTCCTGCTCTGGGCCCAGGTTCAAGAGCACTCCTTGAAGCGGATGTCTGAGGTAACCATCCGGAGACAAGACTCCTTTCGATTAGATTTTTTAAATTAAGAGCTGTGGTGTTTGGCAGAGCATTCAGTTTCTTTCTTGGCAGACACATCCACGTGCTTCTGTTTTGTGTGCTTGATGTTGAAAAGCAAGTCCATGGCTGAGGTCCGTTTTTTTCATTATCAGATGCTTGACATTTGGACAGTGTTCCCGGATCCGAGCCTTACAGAGAATGCCTTTGTTCACACGGGAGCTGTCCCCCCTCCTTCCGTCCTCCCATCACCACGCACCCACCCTGCAGTCCACCGCTGAGGCACTACGGGGGGAGGGTCTCTGCCAACATTTTAAAATCACCTACATAAAATGCAGAGCCCTTGCTGCGTAGTAAAACACTCCCTATCGCAAACATATGTGGGCCCTGCTTCTTTTGTTACCCATTTTTTTTTTTTTTGGCAGTCAGAGAAGTGCCATTTCATCTCTAAATGTGTTTTGCATTCACAGAAGAGTCGGCAGGTTTAGTGTGATATTTGCCACTGGTTTCTGACTGGCGGCCAATTCCTTTTCCCACCTCCATGGCTCATGCTGCCCTGAAGCAGCAATCTGGCCTCCCAAGCTGGACGTTCTGTGCAAAGAGCCAAGCACGACACGTGTGCAATGCTAGGCACTGGAGCGTGTCGTGAGGCTGATCCGAGACCTAAAATAACAGGTGTTGGACGCAATCCTCACAGAAGCTTGAGGGGAGCCTGTGTGTTCCTGGGAGCTCCTCATCAGGACCGGGAGGTGACATGTCCATTGGTCCTGGCAGCTCAACATTCATATTTACCCTGAATGGCCTCAATATTAACATTACAACTTGCCCTGATGGTTTGGTTTTAAATAAAATATTTTCCCAGATCCTTTATGTATCTGGGAAAATATTTTATATATATATGTATAAAACACTTGTAAGTGATGTAGGGTAAGAAAATAGCAAATTTACTATGTCAGGTAAATTTACTATGTCTAACCTTTTTAACTTAGCTGAATCCTCTCCACAGTTCTGTGCAAATACCATAAAATACCATAGACTAGGTGGCCTCAACAAAAGTAACTTATTTTTAATGATTCTGGAGACTGGGAAATCCAAGATCAAGGTGTTAGGCAATGTAGTTCCAGGTGAGGAATCTCTTCCTGGTTCATTGCATTCTTACTGTGTCCTCATAAGGCAGAGAGAACATAAACCAGTAAGCTCTCTGGTATCTTTTCTTGAAAGGACACCAAGGACATTAGGTCAGAATCTCATCCCTACAACTCCATTTAACCTTAATTATCACCTGTAGATTTTTAAGTCTCTACATTAGGGGTGAGTCATATTAGGGGTGAGGACATTAAAATGGGGAAGGGTTATGTACAGAATCCAGTCCACAGCAGGTAGGTTAAATGCATTTTTAAAAATGAACAGATGGGTTAAACCAAACCTTAAACATAGCAGTAAGAGAAGAACAGAGATCTAAAGGAAAGATCAATAGAAAGTCTCCAAATTGAAGCATAAAAAGCTATAAGGGATAAAATGAAAAGGTCTAGCATTTGTGTAAACACACTCTTCAAGAGAAAAAAGTAGAGCACAAGAAATATTTGAAGAGATAGTGTCTGAAAAATCTTCAAATATAACAGAAGATACGGTTTCAAGAAGTTCAAGAAACGCAAGCAGGATACATACATATATTCACTCTTTATAAGAACAAACAGGAAAATCTCTGGAAAATGAAAATCTTAATAAATAATCAGGTGGGAAAAAAATCCCCAAACAAAAATAAAACAAAACATGGATCACCATCCAAAGAGAAGCAATAAAACGCATTGTTCACTTCTCATTAGAAACGATGCAAATCTGAGGATAACAGAGGAATATCTTTCAAGTGCTTCACGAAAGGTGTTGCCAAGCTAAGATACCACTACATGGGAAATGTCCTCCACAATTAAAGTCAACATAAAGACTTTTAAAAATAAAAAGCAGAGAAAATGTCAACATAACATTTCTAAAATAAATGCCAATGAGATTTCTATAGGTAAGAAATGTAAGAAAAACTGAAGTGCAAATGAAAGGATTAGATTTATGGGTAACTTCCAGGGGCTCCCAGTATCAAGGGCTGCAAACAGCATCTTAGCCTATGTAAACTAGATACGGACTTTTCAAAGAATAATACAAAAAATAAAAAAAATAAAACACCACTCTATGCTGCTTAAAAGAGATCCCCTAAATAAAAGGATATAGAAAGATAGAAAGGAAAAAGTTCAAAAAAAGTTAAAAAAAAAACCATGTCATGTACATGGTTTCAAAAGAAAGCTCATGTATTGTGCTATTATCAACAAATTAAAGACAAGAAGCATCATTACAGGTAAAAATTTTTTTCAAAAGAATAAAGATTTAATACTAATAAATTGTAACACGTCTATAGTTGTATATAATTAATTAACAATATAAAATAAGGGGCTGAGGTTGTGGCTCAGCAGTAGAGCAGTTTGACTATTGGTGCCAGGCTCTGGGTTCAATCCTCAGAACCACATAAAAATAAATAAATAAAATAAAGGCATTGTGTCCAATTACAACAAAAAATAAATAAATATTTTTTAAAAAACACAACACAAAATAAAGTAAAAATAGTTATAAAAGGAGAATAGATATATCTTCAATTATAGTGAGATAGTGAGAATTGTCTTTGTGTGTGTGTGTGTGTGTGTGTGTGTGTGTGTGTGTGTGTGTGTGGTACTGGGGATTGAACCCAGGGCCTTGGGCACGAAGCAAGCACTCTACCAACTGAGCTATATCCCCGGCCCCTATAGTGAGAGATTTTTAACAGGACTCTTTTGTTAACTAATAGAACAAGGAAAAGAAAAAGGAAAATAAAATCCAAGGTGGGCAGGGGTAAGAATATTAAGAATTGAACAAAAAATTGTTAGAAACTGTCCTAATAGACACATAAAGCAATATAACCAACAACCGCAAAATATACCTTCTTAATAAGTATACAAGGAGCATTTACCAAAAATAACCATCTTGGAGGGCAGAAAGTAAATTTAAAATAAACAAAAGTATAAGGAATATATTTTCTATGTAAATTAAACAGTAATTACACTATTTAAAAAGAAAAAAAGAATATGTTTTCTGAACAGCGTATGTTTCCTTATGCTTGAAATAAATGCAAAAACAAACAAAATGTTGGGATACTAATAAATACACTTTAATTAAGTAAGACACCTAGGCCAAAGGAGATAAAACACCATGGAAATTAGGACTTTTAAAATACTAATTAATTAGCCAATATTAATGAGTGTTAAAATTAATTAACATTTTAACTAAATCATAATAAAACTATGAAAAATTTCAGGTGTACTTGAGGCTAGACCTAACAGATTCATCCCATTGAGTGTATACTAGAAATGAAGAAAGGCTTTAAATTCATAAACTAAGTAACTGAAAAAGTTAAAAAAAATAGTAAATCATATATGAGGAAAATTATAGTAAGACGACAACGGTATAAAAGCACAAATTAATAAAACAGAAAGTAAAAATACAATAGAAAAAATCAACAAAAACAAAAATGGTTACTTGAAAAAAACAGGAAATTTGTTTTACCTCAGGCAAGAAAATAGAAAATGTCGCCATACATCTTAAGAGACATTAAGTGATGACATCACAAAAGCAATTTATGTTAATGAATTTGAAATTTCAGATCAAATACAAAAATTCCTGAAAATATTACAGCCTATGGAAACTGATACAAGAAGAAATAGAAAAGGTGATTGCTCCCATATCTATAGAAATTGAATCACTTCCCCTCAAAGAAACCCTCAAGCCCTGCTGAATTTTAAGAATTCACCAATGAATTTTCCTGACACTGAAAGATTATGTGAGACACCTGACAGAGAAGACACTTCCTAATTCATTTGATGAGGCCAGCAGATCCCTGACTCCAAAATTTAAAGAGGACATTATGAGAAAGGAAAATCACCAGAGTAACATCTGACCCATGAAGGGGAGGTCACACAGGGGTACCATCGAGAGAGACAGCCTTAGGGCTCCATATGGAAATATAAAAGTGTGGTCGCATATCTTCTAGGGGAAATTATATTGACCCTTCCTCAAGTGATTGGTCAAGCTCCTCTTTGTTCCCAAATGAACTGTAATTATTTAGTTAATGATCTGTCACTTTGGGCTAAGTATTCTTTTTCACCGCAGTGCCTATACTCTGTCTGCTTCCACATCAAGTCCTATGTCCTTTAACATGAACTCAGACCCCCCTCCTCTGTGGAGAGCAGGGCCAGCCACACCCAGGCCTTATTAGGATTCAGACTTTGTTTTCAGTCCTACTCTCCCATTTCCACGACCTGCATGCTGCCACGCGGTTCCATACCTGATGGAAGTTTTCCACTTGCCGGACGTAGCCAGCCACTTCATTATCAGATTTAAAGATCTTCCAGACTACTCTTCTTGACTTCTTGTATTTACGGGATCCTTTCCAGTTCATGGTCATCAAGGAGCGCTCTGTCAGGGAAGCTGCCACAATAATATCCAGTTGGCCATTGTAGAGAAGAACCTGAAATGAGACCGAGCTGTCAGCAGAGGGAATTCAGAAGGTAAGGCTGACAAACTTAGCTAGGTAGACACAAAGAGCCAGTGAGAGGGAAAAGGCCACTTGAACTTCTTTGATATCGTGCTCCAAGAGTCTAGCCCCACAGATCAGAGGTTATGTCCTTCCAGGTAGGCATACTCCAACCACCTGTAATAAATTCAAGCCCTGTTTCAACCGTTGTATCCTTCCAAAAGTTTGATTCTTTATAGAAATCTGCAAAAAGGCCTCACCTGATTGTAAAAACCATTTGAGCTATATTAATTACCCAGAAATATATGTTTACTATATGCACACATATTTATACAGATATATATGAATATATATGCACAGAGAGAGAGACCATGTGTACCTGTGTATGTATGTGTGTGTATCTGGGCTTCACATGGATGTCTGGTTCAACGACGACTGTGATTATCTTTAGTGGAACTAAGGAATACTGCACCCTGGAATTTCATGTGGCCTGTGTTTCATTAATCGCTTTCAGGCACTGCTGGAGCTGCAAACTGAGCTTTTTCTCAGGTGCTGCTGATCAGTGTTGCTCTGTCTTCCTACCTCAATCGAGTTCCTTAGCAACTGTGATTCGTGGACGCAAACAGATGCAGGTGCCTCAGCTCTGTTACTTGCTGGAGGCAGTGATGCCCTCCTTGTGGTTTCTCAGACTTCCTCTTGTTAAATAAGATGCCATTTGCCCACAGTGGGGACTGTCCTTTCTTCCTAGAAGGCAATTTCCCCCTGAGCTGATGGACAATATAGGATAAACAATGCTGAGGCAATGCTACTCTTTTCTCCCCAATTTTTAACTTGTGTGTGAAACTGACTTACAAGTACTGAGACTCTCTGGTCCAGCAATCTCAGTTGAGGAGTTTACTCTGTGCAAATAAGCTCAAAGGAATGAATGAAATTTCTATATTCACTGAGTCTCATTATAATCGAGAACTCAAAACACAATCTGAAAGTCCTGTAATTGGTGAAGAGTTAAGTACATAGGAGTTCTATGGGATGCTGTAAAGCCATTTAAAACGTTTAATGAAGTCATGCCACGATGCAGGAGATGGCTTGTCATATAATGTTAAGAATGAACCCTGAAAGTCAAATACAAGGCCTATCACCATTATAAACATAAAATAGGAGGACACATTGACATACGTGGAATGGAAAGTTTGATAATGTTAATAAAGTTGGTTAATTTAGATGGTAAAAATCGGAGTCCTTTCCCCCCTTTGTTTCTTATTCTTCTTACGCTATTGACACTCTACTCAACAAAGAGGTTTCCCTCAACTCCATTCGACCTTTGATGTATCTGGAGGCTTTGGCAGAATCCTCAAATTGGATATCAAATGTTTCACTGCATATGTTTCCATCTCTGCCTTCATGGCACAGGCTTCTTAAAAGGCTTAAGCATAATTAAAAAGCCCAGGACTTTACACACCCCAAATCCTCAAGCAGCGGCGAGACAGGATTCAGGCTAAGATGAAAGAGTCCTGGGCCTCTCCTGCAGGAACTCGGGGCCTTTCATGTTCCTCAGTCACCATCACCACCCCCACCCTCCTCCACAGAAACCCAAGGGAAAAAATCCTGATAGATTTAAAATCTCTTTTCAAAAAAAATTCAAGTCAACTACAACAATAAAATATTTGCATTGTTTATACAAAGAAAAAGTGGGCCTCAAAGACCTTGAGTCCTTACTTCTGGCCTATGCAAAACCTCTACAGCTGCGTTGGCCAAAAGTATGGAAACAATTATATATGATGGGTACCAGCGAACAAGGCTTAAATACTTCAACGTTCTAGGAAGGCCTGTTTATAGCTGATTAACAAAGATAATCCTGTATAAACTAACTCCTCTTTTAGAAATCAATGAAAAGATGCTGATTAACTAGCAAATACACAAGTGCAACTATTTATTTTTGCTCTCCATGGCCCCATATGCAGCTTGCATCTGCTCCCAGAAGTGTTTCTTGCAGCTACCTTTACTATCATCACTTTCTTTCATTCTTTTGGCACAATAGTGAAATCCACGGATTATGGTAAAAATGGGCTTCAATGTACGGTTTATAGTATGTGTTTCCTGAACTGGAAACCCAACCTTGAGCAGTTTCTCTTCGTATTCAATACTCCTCACAAATAAGAGCACAAGTCTGTGGAACAAGGCAGTGAAGAACCGAACTTGTAATCTGGCTTGTGCAATGTGTAGAGGGAGGTAAATGGAATGACTTTGGGAGGTAAATGGAACTCCTTCCTTTGCAAAGCAAAGAAAACATGTTTTAACTTCTAAGGAGCACACAAGCCCAATGCAACAGGAAGGAAATCAGATTAATGATTGTGATGGCTAACCTTGCTTGCCAACTTGATTGGTTGAAAAGATGCCTAGAAAGCTGGTAAAGCACACTTCTGGATGTGTCTGCAAAGGTCCTTCCAGAGGCAGTTGGCATGTGGGTCAGTGGACTGAGTTGGGAGACCTGTCCTGGAGATGAGGATCACCATCCAATCGGCTGGGGTCCCAGATGAAACAAAGGAGCAGGAGAGGAAGTGTGCTGTGTGCAGGCTCCACCCTTCTTTGGCAGGTGCATTTTGTGACTGCATCTTCCATGGGCAGCAGACTACATCAGACTCCAGATTCTTCAGCCTTAGAATGGGGAGTAGTGCCACCAGCTCTCCAGGGGGCTTCCAGCCTTCAGCCTCCAGCTGATGCTGCATCACTCTCCCTCTTATTCCGAGGCTTCCAGCCTCTGAGACTCAGCAGCTACTAGTTTCCCAGCTCTTCAACCTACAGCCAGCCATCATGGGACTATTCAGCCTCTGATCAGGTAGGCCAATCTGATAAAGCCCCTTCTATAATCATATATACGCTCTTGGCTCTGTTACCCTGAAGAACCCTGACAAACACAATGATCAAGCAAAGTGATTTTAGACCTGGTATTACAGGTGGCCAGCTTTCAGTGTAAGATTCCCAGAACTTTTATTTTATCTTTAAATTCATTTATTTTTTAGTACTAACCCGGAGCCTGTTTACCATTGAGCCACATCTCCAACTCTTTTTATTTTGAGACAGGGTCTCATAAGTTGCTGAGGGCCTCTCTCACTTGTTGAGGCTAGCCTCAAACTTGTAATCCTCCTGCCTTAGCCTCCAAGCTGCTGGGATTACAGGTGTGCACCACTGCACCTGGCCCCAGAGCTTTTAATTTTATCTAAGTGTCATATTTACTCCTATATGCCCCTAAAGAAAGATTCAATTGTGTGCCTCTGGGGTGGAGGAGTGGGTGAGGTATCCCAGGATCCAGTGCCCCTGAGCTGAAGTGGCATGGCATTGTAGATGTGGTCCTGAAGCCAAGGACACATGCTGGCTATTTTCACCCTGAGTCAGAGAAGGTCCAGGTCAGCACCTAAGCCCAACATGTTGGCCGACCACTAAAGATGGGCACCTCACTCGCACTAACTCTCCCCTGGGCCAACTCTTACAGTTCACCTGGACTGAGGAGTTTCCCAGGATGCAGGACTTTCAGTAGTAAAACTAGAACAGTCTGGGGAAAATCTACCCTTGAGGCTTGTTGGCAATTTTTTTTTAAAAAAAATATTTAGGTGTATATGGACACAACACAATGCCTTTATTTTTATGTGGTGCTGAGGATCGAACCCAGGTCCTGCCCATGCTAGGGGAGCGCTCTACCACTGAGCCACAATCCCAGCCCCTTGCTGGCATTTTTAATGACAAGGTCTACAGGCAGAGAATAGGCAGAGGTGAATACAGCTTTTAGCTACACTTGCCTTATCAGTGGTGATCTGAACAACCACAAGAAGCAAGCAAAAGAAGGGCTGGTTGGAGGTGTTCCAAGTGACCTACCAGACAGAGTCCCAAATACCCACTTTCCTCGCTTTCCCTCCTGGTCAGCTCTGGGGATCCAGCCAAGGAGCCAAGGCATTCCTTTGTAAGAACTTTCCTTGTGAGAGGGCTGGGTGCTTAGCCCATTGAAACTGATGGTTATGCAAAAATGCTTATTTTATTAAAAAAAAAAAACAATGGAAACCTGTGATCCTACTTGTTTGAACTCTATAATTACCACATTTTAAAAAACATTCTTCAAACTTGGGGCGAAATACATCAAAATACTAGCAGTTATGGTATTTAAAGAGTAGTTGATTTGTTTTAGTTTCACTATTGTCTGGGAGTTTTTTTGTTTTGTTTTGTCAATGTGGTTAGGATGCTTTAATAAGGAAAAAAATTGCAAAACCAACAATAACACTAAGAGGTTGGGCGCCTCAGTTTGACAAAAGATGAGTCTTAGGGGGGGGGATAACATGGAAAAATTCAAAAACTACCAGCTCTCAATTTTTAATAACAATTAGGTAAAAAGCTTGATTTTAATTTACAGACAATCTTAAAAAACTCATCCCAGATCCAAGTATTTATGAGAGATGGCATTAGGTGATTTGGATCACAAGCATCTTTTTTTTTCCTTTTATAAAAGGCAGAGATAAGGAAAGAATTTTTATTTTTATTTTTTAACTCTTCAAAGTGCTTTCCTGAACACGTCTTCATTCTCACACTCCTCCACGAGGCAGGGATGAAGGGGACCACAATTGCTACTAAGGAAACTTTGATGCTGTGAGTTCTGGACCCTGGACTTCCAAACTTCCACCTAGAGCTCCTTCAGAAAGAGGCTCCATTCTTTCGAACCAACACGTACTTACTGATTTTCACAACTCAATGTTTATTGCTACCAAAAGCCTCTGGAAACTGAGTTGGCTGAGTATGAGACATGGTTCCTATCTCCAGTTCTGGACTAACCTTGTCTGTTTGTCCAACTCTGCTGACATCTCTCATTTTTCACTTTGGTTCTATGGACAAAGATGTGTATAAAGGTATTATTCACTCTCTGACTTCACTGGGCCTGTATTTCCACCCAGCAAAATGGGCAGATATTGTACACTAGCTGTCCCCCTTGGACATGGCCCCAGTCTTCCCTA